AAACAAACTTAAACACCTCAGTCAGATCTACATAACTCTTATTTTTCATATATAACTTGTTCGGGTTTTGCCATCTAAAAAAGGCGATGTTACGTCTCCGTTTGTTAATTAACTTTCCGTAACTTCGTTCCGACGAAACTTTAGCGACACAAGTCCTTGCTTAATAAAACTGATTTATTCTTTCTTAATATAACTTCACGATACACTTGATTTCAACATTCGCGCTAAAACAAACGCTATAACGAACGTTAACTTCAACAATACTTTCTCACTGCAGATCAGTTACTCACTCCCTACACACACATTGTCACGTCGCGCCGTGACCATCTTATATATACCAGTCTACCCTCTATCTAGTAATCTCCCGACAATTCACGAAGGTACAAGATATTTCCAGGAAGCAGGGGGCGTGACACTAGTCACGTGACCTCGCTGACGCAACAGCGACATTAATTTCTTTACGACCTAATATTTAGATAAATCTAATAAAATATTTTAGACATTAATGTTTATATTCTGTTATCTTGGTACCATAAAATATTGTTTCCACATAAACCTATCGACGATCAAATTTAAGACAAACTTTTAGCATTGAAAAATGGGGGGGGGATTCTACTATGCCAAGTGGTCACACATCGGAATCTACATCAGGGCATGAAGGATAAGCCATTACAGCAAAAAAAAGCCTTAAAAGCAAAATGAAATTATATTTGTACGTATTTCAACGCTATTCTTAATCGGCAACTCGATTAGAAATCAACAACTTGGTAAGTCATTAAGCATCCCCTGTTTTTACTTGGTGTTAGGGAAGTTATTTTGAAATATTATAATAACTATCACAAACAATTTTATTACCTAATACTAGTAGTAATAAGGCTGATAATATTAATAGAACAATCTCATCTTTTCGATCAATACTTCTTTCGTGTGTGATATTATTTTACCTTAGTATCACAGAATTTTAAGATTTTCTATTCTGTTAAAGCAACAAATTTACCAAATTGTATTTATTTTCATATCAATTCTTTTTTGTAGGCCATCGTGAGTTAAAAAATAAATAAACAACGTTTCTCGCAAAATTTTCTTATCTGACTGTAGCTATTTCAGTATTGACACTAAAGAGAGAAACAAAACAAAAATGAAGGAGTATCAAACTAAAGTTTCCAAACTGTGGTAATTTTGATAATTTATGAATTATACTTATAGTTATTTATATTATACTTTTTATAGTATTAGTAGTATTGTGAAGCTTGAGTCTTAACTTAATTGTTTGTTTAAAATAATTTCTCAATAACATTATGTATGTTGTGGGTGTAATAATTTTCTCGCAATTATTATTTGTCAAAGCTTAACTGGGAAAATCAATAGTAGGCCTAACCCTAGTAATCGGCAGATTTAGGTTAATAATATTAATAGTATACTGGGCCTATTACTAATATTATTTTGTTCATTTGGAAATAATAGTCATATATATTTATGTGAATTTTGTAGCTATAATTTAGTAAATTACAATTATTTGTTTATGGCCTAATATTACACTACACTAGTCTAGAGTGAGAAAAGAATAAAGTTAAAAACAAAAGGACAAATTACAGCACAACTTTTATTTCTAACTCTAACTTCTAAGTGTAATAAAAGTTAAGTTCAAACTAACTTACTTCAGGTTACTAGATTTTGTGCCAGTAGTGCTGAAAATATAACTTGAAACTGTTCTTTGGTCATTTTAGCATCTCCTTATTGTGTTTCAAAGGTGCAGAAGAACCTGCAAGTTATATGGGTTGCTAATGAATACTCCCTAATTTCCTAATATACCAAGGACAAGTATATTTGTACAAAATCATTAATCTTTGGAGTTTAGGAATTTTATCCTTGTATGAAAAAGGACTGGGAAGCCTGAAAGAAATACTGAAGGTAATACAAAGATTAATCTGTGGACATAAATTTGCATTTTTCAAAAGTTTTATCATTTAACTTTTAGGGTAAATTATCTGTCACCAGTATAGAATAATACCAAAGGTATTGTCAGTTGTTTACAGTTGAAAGAATCTTAGTATTTATAACAATAACAGTATTTAATTGTTTTCTAGATTATTGATAAATAATGCATATTTGTTGTATCAGGAAATAACTTAACAATGAGCACCCAGCTTGGAAAAATATGATAAAAGAATCTTTATAAAATAATTTACTAACATCTGATATAATAAAAGAGAACCAAAATTAACTTATTGAAGGGTAGTATTTTCTTCGTAAAATCTTCAAAAAGCTTGGATAAGGTGCCACACAAAGTGAGTGGCCAAGAAGAATTGGGGTTGGGAATCGACTAGTCAACTAATGAAGTATCTTAGGGGTCATCAGTACGGGGTTAGGAAAACTAGTCAACTAATGAAGTATCTTAAAGGTCATCAGTAGTGGTTTGGAAAAAACTAAACTAATGAAGTATCTTAGGGGTCATCAGTACGGGGTTAGGAAAACTAGTCAACTAATGAAGTATCTTAAAGGTCATCAGTAGTGGTTTGGAAAAAACTAAACTAATGAAGTATCTTAGGGGTCATCAGT